TATCGAAGTTAAAGATAAAAAAAACATCATCTGTGTTTTTTTTTAATTTGTATGGTGTTTAATTTTTTAAGCGAGTTATGAATTATGATCCTTTTAAATTGCAATATTTTTCACTCATAACTTGTTTAAACTTGCTTAAAAAATGAAACAACATAAGAAATACCACACAGTATATGTTCTTACCATTACATTTTATGACGGGTCAATTTTCTATAACATTAAATCTAACAACACGAAATTGGTTCAGCTGAACGAACATTTGCTAAATTATTTATAACTTTATTCGGAGACAGAACGTTATGCGAATGATGGCGTCCTCGATACTATACAATTTATTATACTTTCGTCATTTTTATGATTCGAATATTCAAGACAAGGTATTAATATGTATGTGGTGGCTTTTGCCGGAAGGATAACTTTTGGGGGGAACTAAGTAATTAAAAAACGAAATCATTGTTTCATAACTGTTGATATACCTACCCTATGTATCTTGTGTATATTATATCTGTTTTTTTCTCTAAAATACGGTTATAAAAATTATAGAAAAGATTGTTAAGTATACATTTATATGAATTATACTAGTAGGTAGATTAAAGGTTATAAATAATTAATCAATCACTTGATTTCCATGTACCTAATTCTATTAATCTAATATTATTATTTTAGTTGTAAGACCAGAAAACATACTGAATAAATTATTGTGTAGACATGCGGTGACCAATTAATTATATTACGATTTATGATGGCGGTGATAGTGGTTTTCTTCTTTATAGGTGGTTTTATAAAATGTGTTTCTTAATTCTTACGATTTTAAATTTTTAAATAATTTGTTGATAAAACTTTTAGTAAATCCATCAGTATATCATATAATGCAGGTACTGTCGCTTTGTCTCCAAAATAACTACAAAATGTCTTGGCACTTATTTAACAAATATACTATATCTCAATGATCTACAAATTAATACCATCAATGAAACGGATATCATGTTATATAAAACATCCCATACCAAACACCAATCAAATATCCATCTCCTCAACTCCCAACTGTTATTTAAAAAACACTTCCAAACAATTCTGTGATATACATCATATACGTCTCAAAAACAACTGGTGCAGTGACATATTTAGCATGTAAAACTTAAATGTAAATAACTTCAACGCCTTCAACCATACGAAGATCTACAGAGTCTTCCTAAAAGTCAACATATTTTTTAATAAAAGTTTGGGTTAGGTTAGGAGTTTTGAATATTCATAACTATCACACGTCATTTGCATACTTGTATGTATATTTCGATGTTATGCAACTATTAAAAAAAATCATGTATAAAGAAAAAACATTTTAAGTCCTTGATTTTGTTGAAACTAAGTAGGTATTGTGCGTTGTGAATTTACCAGCCGCTTCTTAAGAGGACGCACAACCGCATGCGTTGTCTCCGACTTACAAAATGTACAACTTTGCAAAAACTTTTTTGAAGGGGACAACTATTTTCCCTCTGAAATTATAGTGAAATTACCAAAATTCCACAAAGCATAGGAAAGAACTTGATCTGCGTTTTTATTATTTGGATAACATAAATACAATTAAAGTTATCAGTTTGAGAACATTAAGGTTTTTTTGTTTTTTTTTTTATTTAATTATTAACAATTATTGGTAAGTTCTATCAAACAAAAAAAAAGGCTACGACACAGATAAAGTTCTTCTCAATGCTTTGTGGAATTTTGGTAATTCTACTATAGTTACAGAGGGAGCATAGTAATTGTCCCTTGCAAAACAGTTTTTGCTATTTTGTACATTTGTAAGACGGAGACAACTCATGCGAGTGTAGCGCTCTCCTATAAGGATATAATATGAACCTCATGCATTATAACTTATAAGCTTATAACCTCTACATCGGTTAATAATTCTTCACGGTTAAAAATGAACCACAGTAAATAAACCATTTTTCATTTTTGTAAGGCGGTATGGGATAAACTTTAAATCAACCCATCCGTTAATGAACTTCGGATCAACTTCTGACACACACACACACACACACATACACACTCAATTAATGTGAATACAAATACACATACATCGAGTATTCTAGTGTGTACACATTGTTATTATTCTTATTATAATAAGAATAATAATATGTAAATAACGACGTCGGCCGCTCGTTATCTCGTTATTATTAAATATCCAGCGGCGGCTCGTTAGTGCTGTATAAATGTTTTAATATCATTGACGACTGTACGATACAATAATAATAATAATATTATATAGGATAATCCGTTTAATATACGACAACGTACGGAACTCGCGCATAGAATATAAAACATTATAATAATAATATTATTATGTACTATACTAAAATGTAATATAGTCGCGACGGGGCGCCGGCGATGTTGCCCCGCAGCCGCCGACGGCTTTTCAATAATATATTATATTATTATTGTATAAATAATAATAAATACCGGCGCGCGCCCAATACATGCACATTATATTTACATAATACACACGTATACTCTACAGTCTACAGACTATACAGGGTGATTTTTTTTTTTTGTTTTACCGCGTTAAACAAATTTTTTCCATTTAACTTTTAAGGGTGTAAATATCTGCGAAAAATTGTAAATCAATATTATATTATATTATGTTTGTTTAGTGTGTACCTATGTACCTATAACCTACACGCGATACGCCCCTGAGAGTAAATCGCTAGAATTTCAGAACGTTTAGATCACGAGATGCCGGGGGATGTGATGCATTGGTCGGTTCACGATTTATGAAAAAATATCACCACTCTGTATATAAATCATATACATAAGCTGCCGTCGGGTCCCGAGTCGGCGGCGCAGCGCATCAGCCGCGCACGCCGCGGTTAATTTAAAATAATATTAAAAACAAATAAACGACAACGAAATAATAAATACAAATAAATTACCGTCGACGGCGATGATAGTTTTAATAATAATAATAATATTATTATAATTGGAAACGTTAAAAAAACAAACGGCCCGCGGTGACACGGCGCTATGTACCTACGTTGTACCTTGTTTCTATATTTTTTTTTTGTGTTTTTTACAATACAATATGATAATAATGTACACGCGTGTAATATAATTATATTACGTGTAGACTGTAGACGGTTCGGGTCTTGGTATGCTACTAAAAATCCCCCCAAAAAAACATCTATATTGACGAAAAACGCTTATATTGTACGACTTCAACTCTAGAAAGAAAAAACACTGTCACAAAATCTGTTGTTAAATTATTGATACGTGACGATGATAGAGTTCGGACGAAGGAAATAGTTATTGAAAAAACGAATAAAAAAAAAAGATAACTATTCAAGATTTCCGGAACATACCTAACTTCGCGTCATTGCCCAGGCAATTATTACATGAACATCCTGGTATGTATCAAACGAAAACCCTTCAATCTGATCTGAAAATCCGTATTCAATCAACGAAAACACCGCTCACTTTTTTTAACAAACGCTTCCAAGCAAAACTTTATTCAAATCCCAATACCAAATCATCTCACAAATCACCTGGAACACGTTCCCTGGGAATCCACCCACACTCTAACGGAACTGGTGCCGTGTTCTAATAATTAACCAAATCATCTGCAGGTATATAAACTATGATAATTCATTTTATGACATTCACAACGGTATTCACTAATAAGTAAACTAGACTTAAACCCATAGTATATGTACTTGCTGCATACGTGGCAATTTTTAAAATTAAACCAATTTTTCGAATACAATTAAATAATCGGCAGGGATCGAAACCGTTTCAAACGGTTTCGGTTTTGGTTTTATAAACGGGTTTTTTTAAGATTGTAGGTTTCAATCACGGTTTTTTAACCGGTGTTTTAAAGCTATTGGTTTCGGTGTCCGAATATAAAAAACAATGGTTTTAACCGGTTTTTCAAAAAAATTAAAGTCTAGACTTACTATATAGACTGATTCTTTTAAACAAATATTAAAATTCCATATCATTATAGTTTGAACACAAGAAACAAAAGAAGAAGTTGAAAGTACCTACGCATTACTAAGATTCTCAAAAAACAACCTCATATCCTGCCCCATATTGCAGACATAAAAAATTATCCCACTTCCTTCCTCAGCAGTATCGTTGCCCACATTCAGTTTTGTTTTAGTCGAATTTTAGTTAAGTTTATTTTCAATTTTTATAACACCACCTATTCATCTCATTTACTTATACTATACTTTTGAATAGATTGTAAAAGTAAATTGTCTAATAAAAAAAAGAAGTTTTATTTAAAGAAATCATTGTGGTTGTTCAAAAGTTTTTCTTAGTAAAACAAAAAATATTTTTTAATTTATAAGAAAATCAGTTGTAATGAAGTACCTATATTATGTATTCATATACGCCCAAATGCTACTTATTGTAGGTATCACATAATCAGTCTTGTAACGTACCCGAGAAAAACTATTCAAATATATCTATTTATTTTAAGTAATCAAATACGTATTTTAAATACTTTTGAAAAAAGTACTTGGACAAATTATTTTAAAATCTTAATACCTATATTAATCACATGCATTTTCTCTTTAATTAATATGTTTTATATTTTACATTTAAACACATAAAAAAAAAAAAAAAATGTGTAAAATGATCCATACAATTAATGTAAAACATGTAAATGCTAAAAAAAATGATTTATAAAACAAAACAAATTGTATATAAACAATTTTAAAGTAATTGAAATTATTTATAAATACTGTTTCAAAGTACCCATTTGTATTTGTACTCGAGTAATTTTTTTACAGATAATTTAAATACGTATTTTAAATCCTTATCAAAATACATGTCTGTATACTTGAATACTTTTAGAAAATATCTTTTCAAGACTGCACGTCTGCACTGTTTGCTCTATCTTAATAATTATATATTTATAAATACTAAATGTTAGGTATATTAATATAATGTATAATGTATCTTACTATATTTACTAAACTAAAATACTATAAATTGTAATAGTAAGTTACCTGTATTCTGGCTTCGGTCAGTCCAATTTTCGACGCCAGTTCCTCCCTGTAACACAGGCACAAACCCATTTAAAAATTTTACATTGACTGTCAACATGTTTAATGTATATATAGGTGTATTTTACTCAGGCCCACATAAATCGTCTGTTTCAAGTAAATATAGCCTGATATGTGCATAAATATTGTTTATACTTTATTGTTTAATATATATATGGTACCTCTAGTTAGATACTTTAGGTTTCCTGGTTAAGAAAAAAACCATTGCCGACTCAGAACAAATAAGCCCAAACGAGTTTTTTTCGAGGACGCGAAGACGAACAATTTTAAAGAAAATAAATCTTCTGAATTTTAGGTCAGAAGATAAATTAAAATTAAATAAGATTTTTAACAAACCAAATTATAAGTAGTTAAAAAAAAAAAAAACAAAATTTTAAATGAATAAACACTTTTGTATATAAGTACTCACTCATATATTGTATATATTATGGTTTATGGCTGACCGGTAAATAGTTTCCAATCCATTGGGAAGTATATAGTACACATATAGTTTAATATTATGTATTGTACTATTATGTATATAACATATTATTATATGTTCCTTAACTTTTGGGTCACTATAATATACTCGTATAACGTACAATTTTTCATAATTATTGTTGATTGTTACATTTAACTATTTATAAACCGACAAACAAGCTTAAACAATATTATGGGTAGCCGGTTAGGTATACATCGAAGGACGTAAGAGATAAAGATATAATTTGATATGATTAAGACATATTTAAGATATGATTTGAAATGCATAAATAGTATACTCGAATATCTCCGCCCACCTCTTAACCTAAAAATGTTGATTACGCTGCATTCTGCATATTGAAATTGCCATTTGAAATTTACAAGTATTGCAATTTAATTCAACGTAAATATAATAATAGTTAGGGCTTAGATGATTATGAAATTCCATGTTTTTTCTATTATCCGATTTAATGATAACCTAGATACAATATTATACAAATTCCATTCATGCTCTACTGAATCAAATGTTACCATTTTTTTTATTTTGCATATTAATGCTTATATTCTGGTTTTGTGATTATCAGCACACGTTTTTGAATTATTTTTTTAAATTTAAACAAACTAAACTTTTAAGTAGGTTAGGTGTATTGCGTACACATACATTTTTTACAGCATCATTTGTTTTGTTCATTGATAGGTATAATAATAATTCAAAATTCTATACTTTTGAAACTATAATAATATGTTCAAAGATGCTTAAGGTATATTTACCATATTCAACCCAATTTTATAAATTATAATCCAATTATAAATCATCTGGACGCTTTATTTATAAAACTGATCGAGTCAACGAGGCAGATGTATACCTACCATAATTCATATAATTTTATATATAGATAAAGGGCTGTATAAAGTTTGAGGCACGTATAGTAGCATTGCGAACTCACCTGGTGAACACGTCGGGGTAGTGGGTCCGGCCGAACGCCTTTTCCAGCTCGTCCAACTGGTAGCTGGTGAACGTGGTCCGGTACCGGCGCTGTTTCCTTTTGTTGGTACCGCCCGCGGACGGCGGGCCACCGTAGCAATCGTCCTCGTTGTCCGCAGAAGCGTCGTGGCCGCCACCGGCGCCGCTCATGTCCACGATTCCGTCTCTGCCGTCACCATCGGCGTGGTCGTCGCAGCCGCCGTTTTCCACGTCGTCGTCCGCGCCATTATCGTCGTCCACGCCGCCGCCGTAGTAGCCGGGCGGTGGCGACGAATAATAATCGTAACCGACCGTTCCAGGACCGCGGCCACCACTACTGGCCGCCGTGGCCATTAACGACCTACAGTGTTGCTGTTGTTGTTGTTGCAACTGTTGCTGCTGTTGCATTTGAAGGTGTTGTTGCTGTTGATGTTGTTGCTGCTGCTGCTGCTGCTGTTGTTGCTGCTGGTGTTGGAGCTGCTTGTGTTGTTGTTGCTGCTGTTGTTGAACCACCATAGCCGCCGCCACGACGGCAGACCTCTCTCGCATCATGGTTGCGGCCATGGCCACAGCGGTGGCCGCTGCGGTGCGACGTCTGTCGTCGAAGGGCACTGCTGCGTGCGTCAACGCACACTCTCCCGACTGCGGCTGGTCATCTTTCTGCAGTCCGTGACTTTCGTCAGCCGACGCCACGGCGGCCACTGCCGATACACCCGACGCCGATACCGCCGCCGCCGCAGCCGACACTGCCGCTGCCGATACTGCCGCCGCCGCTGCTGCTGTTGAAACATAAGACACACAACATCAGTATACAGAAAAAGCACTAATTTATCGTAGGTATATATAGTGTCATATAGGGCCTAAAACGTGTGTACAGACAGAGTTGGAAAAACATTACTAATTATTTCAGATTTACATTATACAGTTTGTCCCAGAAATTCCGTATCACCCTTAGTATCTCCATGGAAAATCAATATATTTAAATGCAGTTTTTTTACAGTTATAGGTATGGAAATTCTGATTGAATAGCGTAATATTCGATTTTTTTTTTTCAAAAATTCAAAAATTATCAAAAAAATTTTTTAGGGAAATTCGTTTTTTATATTTCCAAGATAGCTATTTTGTTAATGGTATTTATTAAAACAGTTCAAAAAAAAATATTAAAATTTAATGAAAATTGCCAAAACCAGAGCCAAATATTATTTTGAATTTCTAAGAATGATAGTTATGTTACCTATGATTACGGCATTAGCAAAATACGATTCGCATATTAATTATTATAATCCAGCTGATTTTTCGGCTAAAATTCAAAATAATAATTAGCTCTAACTTGGGCGAATTTCATTAAATTTTAATATTTTTTTGTGAACACATTGAACAAAATGGCTGACTTTTAAGTTTAAAAAACTATTTTTGATAGTTTTTGAATTTTTGAAAAAAAAAATCGAATATTAAGCTTTTCAATCAGAATTTCCATACTTATGACTGTAAAAAAAAACGGCATTTAAACATATTGATTTTCCACGGAGATATACTAACTATACGGACATATTCTGGGACATACTGTATATTGTTACTGATGTTCCTGATTGTCTTCTGATGTAGTGTGCAATTTGACAAACCCATTGTAGACTTACAAAGAAATTCAGATTGAATGAATCGTCATCTAAATTATTATACGAAAAAAAAATAGTAGTTGATACAACTGTTTAAATAATCAACCAACCATAATCTCAGGTTAATATAGTGACACAATAAATGTATGGTTGGGAATACTAAAATGAATTAATTGAATCAATTTAGTAAGAATAACCATAAAATTATAGTTGGAATAATAATATAATACTATCAAATAAACAGTGTAATCAAATAATGAATAGTTGAAATTACTATTTTATATGGTTAAAATACCAAAAATCCATCCCGGGCAATCTCTACCCTCCTCGCGATCGGACCCTCTACCGGCCAGCCCTATAAATAATATATAAATAATTGCGCAAGAGAGAGCTATTTAAACGAATGATTTTTTTTAGTAACTAAATGTTTAAATAAAATTGTATTTATTTGAATTTAGAATTTCTATTGTAATTCATACTATAATATTTTATATGCAAACAAATAAGGATGTAGAATTAGTATAATATAATATTATAGAAAACCATTAACCTATAGAGAAATATTAATCGATTTAGGTTATTACTCTTTTTTTCTCTTATATTATTACGTTGTTTTAATATCGGGAAAAAGTTCAAAAAGTACAACAATTGACTACAAAATTGGCTAAACACAGTGCACAAAATAGGGAAACTGCGGCGATTGGGGGGCAAATGCCCCTTTGATAAAATATTGGGAGGGGGTCATCAACCGCAACCCCACAAAAGTACGGCCTTGGGTATAGTCAGTTGTACTATACTTGTACTAAATTGTATGGTTGGCATAACTATATTATATAATTGAAATTATTTTAACATTGATTTTAGTTCTTGTAACTATTCAATATATGTACATCAGTCATTTTATATGAGTTACTATTTTGTATAGTTGAAATAACTATAAAATAAGTTGGTGAAACTATAACTTTTTAACTAATTAATTTTAGTACTCTCAACTAAACACATTGTTTGATATAACTGAATAAAACTTGAGCTCAAGTTCCGAATAAGCTTTGTTTCTAAACTGATGCAATGTAATAATTAAAATTTAGTGATCTTAAAAGTGAGATTGGTACTTTTAGACCCAATCGAAAGACTTAAAAATAGTGTAAGCGATTTTTTGTGTGGGGGTTTACAAACAACGACTTCTAAATATCATTATAATATGGTTTAACTGTTTTACAAATAGTTTATTGATTTATTGCATACTTAGCAGTCGATAGCCCCAAAGTAAAGTATATTACAACAATATTATCTGAGTACATAGTATATATTCGCAAGGTGTATACGAATGCAGGAGAGGTTCGAAAGCAGATTCGGTATTGGGTTTGGCAGAGAGCTTATAGGATTTCGCCAACAATCACTGATCAGCCTGGGAATCACTAGGTTTATAGATATAATTTATTATTATAGAAACAGCATGATATATGTATAATATGCATATAATATTATAACCACGAGGGCGGGATGTGTATATACTTAATAAGAAATAATATTATAATATGCACGCGGTACATAATATAATAATATGAACTATGGACACACGTCACATTATAATATTATTATGATCGTGTATATAAATTGGTACCGCCGGGATGTCTGTTAATTATAATTCATAAATATATGATGATATGACATGGTAAAAATATATGTGTATTGAACTCTCGAAGGTAAATCGTCGGCGCAGTGGAGCGGTGTAATAATAATTGTTAGTATAATAATATAGAACAAATGCAGTGTATGTGCATATACAATAAACTGCAGCAACATTATTGCCATGGTATCAGTATATATTATTATTAATTTACTTATATAGATTACTCCGGATTCTATACGTAGGTGTATATAGGATAATACTTCGAGCGGGTAATCGATATTTTAACAATCTAGCCGACGTACGAATCATATTATACTATATCGTAGTATATAATATTGTATTTTAATATACACTATACATGTAATGGTATCGTTGTTCAGTGCAGCGTGTACTATAATAGTGTATGTACAATGCGCTCACATTATAATTATGCATTTATACATACATTTAACGACGACGAGTTGTTGTTTAACATTGTATACTGTGCACATTGCACGATAAATTGCGATTATTTTTTCCATATATACCTATGTACATTTATATTGGTTTATTCAAGTAAGTACCTCCTACCCGTGCAGTGATTTCTATATTGCCCATGTCCTATATATCCTATATATATTATACAAGATATAATAGGCACCTTATATAGGTATAATAACAATAATAATATAATTTCGATCGATAAGCTAGCAGTGCGCACGATATTATTATTTATTATCGTCGATCGAAGACCGTATTTTAATTCACCTATAATATTATGACGTATGCACGTGTAATAATATTATGTATCATCATCATGCGTAGGAGAGATCACCGGCTGTCCCATATCATACCACAGGTATATAAAAAAATATATATAATATTCTATAATAGATTGTGATTTTTACTATTAGCTGTTATTATTAAATTATTACGTTTCGGTCGCAATGGCGGCCGCCATCATTATCATATTATTATTATTATTATTGTCCTCGTCGTCAAGACGCGCACGCAAACGCATTGCTGGGAGACACGGCACGGCCCGCGTGTCCCCACCGAGTTTTTTAGAGGCAGACGTGCGAGTACGACTTTCCCCCCGACGACGAAAAGCCCGCCTATATAGTCGTCCTCAGCATCCTCGGACCTAGTAATACATTATAATCTCTGGTTCATCTGCCAGTGACCATAATATATTATATTATATTGCGACATACACGCGCTCGGCTAGGCAGTATGTAGTAGGTTTAATATAATACGATAACATACAGTACAGAATATATTATCATCATTGATTTCATAAGATCAAATAAAATCAATGATAATATAGTATCGAGAATATAAGTTACCACGGTCGTGGCGCGAGCCATAAGTAAAAAAAAAAAATAACTGTACGACAGTGTGTGTATAATATTATATCGAAGAAGGCTAGTTGCCTATTTAAACTGTGTAAAATACGGGTAAATTCGTTATACGACATAACTAATTTTCTAATGCATCAATTAACTCCTAGTAATTTCCAAAACATCAGAAATATTGTGTAGAATGTGCTTTTGTAAGAATCATAAAAATCGTACGATTAGAAATTAAGTTATAGATGAAAAAGTGTGAACATTTAATGGAAATTCATATTAAATGCAGAATCAAGGTAGCCGTCATCGTCGTCGTAGCAACAGCGTACTATAAACAATATTACCGTTCTTATACCTAGATCATTGCAGCTTAATTGGTGGCGGTGTCGCGAGATCATACTTTTTCCTCACTCGCAAATGCTTTCTTATACAGGGTGCCCAAAGTGCCTAAAGAAGTTTTCACTTCAAAAATATAAGATCTTTAAGCACCATAAAGATGCGTGATATCATGAATAAATGCTAAGTATATTGAATTTAAGTAAACTTATTGTGTTTCAATAATGTATTTACTTGGTGAGGAATTATTTAGAATAGTATAATATAAATATTAATAATAAGTGATGTTTTAATAGTCCTTTACCATTTAATTATTTTGTTCATCACACTTTGTTTTTCTTAAGAAATAATTCCTCGCCAAGTAAATAAATTATTGAAAGAAAATAAATTTACTTAAATTCAATATACTTAGCACTTATTCATGATATCACATCTTTATAGTACTTAAAGATCTTATGCTTTTTTTACTTAGACATTTTTAAACGTAGTTTACGAAGGGTTTTTGTTAAGATAAATTTGCATTATATAAACTTTATTTTTCTCGGATTAACATTTGTTTACATTTAAATTCTATAGTAAGTTTAACATAAAATGGAGGCTTAAAATATATTTGTTGGTCAAGAATTCATACGATAGGGCCACAATCTCAAATAAATATCTTTATTTTTAATTTACAGTTTTCAATACTTATAGTAATAATATAATAGTATTATAACTTTATAAAGATTTAGCTAATCATCAATTGCCCTCAAGATTAAAAAAATATATGTAGATACTCAAATATGTTTTTATTATATTTCAAGTATATAGGTGTAGGTCATGTTAACTGAATTTATGGCTTAGGTATTTCGAATATGCAAAACACAACATGATTCAAAAGTCGCTAATTGTATTGTATTATATTTGTGGGCACTGCACCGATAATCTCATGTAACTACTAAAATATAAATAAAATGCACATGACTACAATCCGGGGGGATTATTAATCAGTAGAGATGGTCATGGTGGGCCCCACTGATTACCAATATTTAATAATTTTTTATCGGATGGAAATATTATTTTGTTACTTAAGTACATATATTATTATGTGTATACCTAAGCACTGAGAAACTGCCCAAAAGACTACTATAAGTAGTATAACCGTTGTATAACTCGTAAGTCGTAACATATTATAATATACTTAGGACTTCAGATAAACGTTAGTTACATATGCAGTGATAGAGATAAGATGTATAGATTAATAGATAACTGGATACAGGTTGATGGTTTTTACAAAAAAGTAACTATGGTAACTCAATTACTGTGATATTGATTATTATTTCTATGATAGTTTATTTAAGGTCTATAATATCATATCTTATAAGTATAATATTAAGAACTCTGTTTGAAAATGCATATGCGGTAAACAAATCCCAACCTTTCCCTATATCATTGAATAACATTGTTTATACCTAGATACAAGATAGAAACATATAAGCTACATTAATTATTATATTATTGTATGACTATAATAATTAATAAGGATATGATATTATTATACAGTCGGATGGCTGTACTCTGCTGGACCGCAACCATTTCCATAGCGATCACTCAATCATCCACGCTGTATACATAAACAACACAATCACACCGACACAACTGATAATATACAAATTACAGACCCCCAAATATGAAAAATGGGTTAGCCGCAGACGTGGACGGCCCCGCGAAAGAACCGGAAGACAAAACCGCGGCGGCGCTGATCACGGCCATACTGTTGGAACACTTCGGCGACGGCCTTCCGGTACACGCGGACGTGGTCATGGACACGGTCCAGTACCGTCTAGCCCGGGACGAGACGATGGCCGCGCGCGCCCGGCGGGACGGGTGCTACTGCGTGTGGGCGGACCACCGGGCGTCGCGAGCGTACCGCCGGTGCCTGGCGCGGTTGGTCCGGTCCGGTCGGATCCGCGTGGTGTACGACTGCGGCTGCGGCTGCGGCGCGTGCCTGGAAGACGGCGGAGGCAACGGGTGCTCCGGAGGAGGGACTCAAAGGCCGACGAAATCGGCTGCAATATTATGAAATCGTGGTCGCCGTCGACGCAGAGCCACAGACATACCTCTAATCATAAATAATCGCCTCCTACAACTTAAGACTCTTATCATTCTATAATAAATCCTACTCGAATTATTAGATTTTCCAGAAACACGAAAACAACGATTTCAATTTTATATTTTCGAATTCCGATAAATTAGAAAATAAAATTTATACAAACAATTTACAATTATAATTTACTATACTTTTCCGTACTCCGAGAATACTTCTTAAATAAATATTATTATTGATCAACATATTCAATGGTGATTTATGCGTGTAAACAAATATATTTTGACGTGATTTCTAGCTGCAAACGCTCAACTCTGGTACAATTATACATTGCCAATCACTCAAAGCCAGTTGAGTAATCAAAGGGGTGTAACCAGGTATTGCAAACGTTATGATTATAACGTTATATTTGACAAAAAAACGATTGAAAAGTGTTAACGAATTATAACGGAAAGCGATAATCAAATAAAATTAAATACAGCAAAACAAATCATAACGATTACAAAATATATTATATATCATTAAACAAAACATAACACCAAAAGTAATTTATGAAATTTCATTGAACGAAAAATTGAAGCAAAACGAAATAACTTAAAATTCATTTATTTAAAAGTTTTAATGGTTTCGTAGAAATATTTATTTCTTGCATACAATATTAGAAATGATTACGTGTATACACTATACATGATTATAATCAGGGTTGGGATTTTATAGCACTTAAAATTGTATAAATATACGCTATAATATTACCTTAAATATTGCTAAATATACGCTAGAAATATATGCAATAACAAAATATGCAATGAAAAATGAAATTTATTAATTAATCATTTTTAATCATTTACAAATTATTATAGGTAAGTTACTTAAGATTTGAAATAATTTAGTCACTCTGATCAGACTCCAAATAGGTAGTCCAAATGAATTGACTATACAACGCATTCAACTCTCGTTCATTGATAGTCGGTGATTAATAATCGAAGTATAGAAGTCGACAAAAAAAAAAAACCAACAAAATCAGCAAATAACAAAAATTAGAACCATATACTTAATACGAAATTATCGTAATAATTCAACTGACAAAAATCTAAAAACACGTCGTTTACCTACTAAAATATAATTTCTATTAAAATATGACCGCTTTTGATCCAAAAACAGGTAAAAAATGCAAAAAAATCAAAATCAAATTATTAATTTGAGTTCGTTGTATCATGAAACATATATTTAGCTTACCCTGCTATTTTTTAAGCATCTCATTAGAAATATTCAAATGCTATAAAATTCCAACCCTGACTATAATAAATATATAAGATGCAACAGTTATTTATTTTATATTGTTTAGCTTATTGTCTTACCTAAATAACGTTGGCATAGAATAGGTATGTACAACCCTCAGTGACATGTATTGGAAATGTGTATGCAACTCCATGCTGTGGTTGTTATACATTATTGTACAAGACTGTTCAAATTATAATAATTTGAAAAATGTTCAAGATTGGTAATAAATCGGGAATAATATTATGATTGGTTTTTTTTTTTGTTTGAATTTGTCTCATAATACAAAAGTCTTTTTTTTTGTGACACAATAATTTTAAATATATTAAAATAATCAGAAATCTGAGATTTTTTTTTTGGTCGAAAATATTTTGCAGTTGGGTTACCCGTGTGTATATTATAGTAACACGTATTACAATATAATATTATAGTATATTATCTCGAATCTCGACATAAAACGGATATAGAGGCAGAATATAGCGGAAATCCGTCTATTTAACGGAAATGATCTATTTTATGGTCGCGCGGGCAAAAGAATTGGCTTTAGACGAAACTAAAGCAAGAGACTGATATAAAATATTCAGTGTTATACTGATTTTGACTGTATAATATACTTAAATATAATACCTCCTTCTGTTCCATGACTGCTAACGGTTGTCGCTGCAGCCACTGTGTTTTTCAAACGATTGTAACTATAACAAGTATATATATTTTTTTTTTCTCATAGCTACTCCGCAGTCTCCGTTTCCTGAAGTTCCAACGAATCGATCGAGTCAGTGTCGTTTTATTTACATCATAACATTATTATTAGCATGAGTAGGTATATTTAAACCGTGATTATGAATAAATGTATATTAGGGTACCTCTATATTAAATAATTAAGGGTGCTGGAGCGTGATTGATTTTCGGTCGAAAACATAGCTCACGACTTCAATCACTACGCCCAATATAATGTTCTGATATTAATTTTGATAGCATATTTGAATTCGTCACTGAATTATCTATGCTTGGACAATTTCATGATTTCTGATTTTTATTTTTTTTTACTTGAAAATTTACTAACAAAAAGAGTAAAAATAGATCATATTCATAATTAAAATTATAATACATTGATATAGAATATTAAAAATGTACGACAGTCAAAGCATAGTAAATTTAGAGGAGATTTAAAATCTGTTTTCAAAATTTAAAACGGAACATCCTACTGAGCGTAGTGATTGAAGTCACTGGCAGTATTTTTTGAAAAAAAAATGTTTCTAATTTTATAAAGTAATATGCGGTGGCATATGCATGCGCGTAGGTAAAATGACTGAAGTATTATGATGCCACCTATACAAGGTGATCGGTACTACGAATTACACACACTTATGTTCATTTACTTTCAACACATTCACAATACCCATATATGAACTGAAATATAAAATGCATAGTTTTTACTCTTTAGAATCGATTACGCTCCAGCCCCCTTAAGATATCGAGGTCGGGAAGTTTTAAAAGTTCCCGACCACATTTTAAAAACTTCGGCGCCACTGGGTCGAGTTATTCTCAGTGTTGGGAATTATCTAGATTATAGAAATTATTTCTTTAATTATCTTACCTAGATAAAAATAATTAAATCATCTAATTATCTCATCTAGATAAATGTAATGGTTAACAGTGTCAATTTATCTAGATAAATAATATAATAACACGAATATTTTTAAATACTGAAATAGCCAATAATTTACGAGAACCGAGTAGTGATTCCAAATTCCAATATTATTATAGTTAAAAAAAGAAATGTTTACTGAAATATTGTCAGTTTTATTTTTATTCAAGTTGTATTAAAAATTAAAATGGTATATTATTTTTGGTTGAGAAATTACATTAAGGATTTATTAATCAATAAATATTATCTAATTAGTAATTACTAATAAATTGCATTATTTATAATATAATTTAAAAACGAATTATCTATTTTTTATCTAGATAAATGTATGTGTATTTTTATCTTTATCTAGATAAAAAAAATGATGTTATATTTTATTTTATCTAGATAAATTTTGAATGAATTATCTGCTATCTTATCCAGATGATTTTTGGTTATCTTTTCCCAACACTGGACTTATTCTTGTTAAAATGCTGCAATGATCTCGATGGACTCGAGGGCAGTGAACATGACGTAATATAATATATCAATATATATATATATATATTAATTTTATAACCGTGTAGAACCGATATCGGCGATATCTCATAATATCTGTTCATTGTACGAGTTTATTCGAGTATAAATACTACGATGTACCTACCTATGTTTGTATTATACCTAGGTATAATAATGATATTATTATCTACGCATATGAAGACAGTTCGAAGAGACGGCAAGACGAGTAATGCACTGTCTCGTCCATCAGGTAATAAATAATTTATTACAAAGAACCAAAATTCTGGAATATCAATTATCAAACATAGGTACCTCCGTACTTATAGCCTATAGGTAAACGTAAACTCTACCGACATCAGTTACTACTTACTTCAGCGTGGTATTGGCGTATTGCATATTGTCACTACAGATAAACATGAATGCCATCAATATTTATGTCCCACGGCCCATTATTTTCATTGTTTTGTATACATAACCACAAAACAAGCACCATGTAAATAAGTGTCCATCTCTAATCAATAAAAGGCAAAAACTGTCTTGCATAAGAATAAGACGTCACCCCATGGTTGATATAGGCATTAATTATCTATATTCTATAATGTGATCGTCACACCGTGCTCGGTAGCGTCTATATAAACTATATAATAGGTAACTAGGTATATTATTATAAATGCGATTACATATAGTATTACACTGTAAGATATTAGGTAGGTCTTTGGTGCACCCCAGCAGATGGCTTTTATCCGAAAACGTTTTTAAATATTATAATATATATATGCCATTTGTATATATTGTAATTGGGAATTCGCGCGAATAGTATATATAATAATATGGAACAAAGTCAACCCGTCGGCCAGTGTAACATTAGTTCGTTGTCACATTAATTAGCCGCAACACGGTATTTTCGACCCCATTACATTTTTCAATAATAAAAATGCTGTTTCGTACATTTTTATTAATTTTATTAAAACAAATAATTATTTCATACAAATTTACAATTTATAATTATATAGTTACAAAAAAAAATTAAAACTTTTGTATTAATTTACTTTCCATACCATAATATTTGAAAGCGATGCTATTAAGTATTAACCGATCTCTACAATTTACAAAAACATTTGTGATGAGATTCTCATTTTTATTATTAGCTTACGATTTCTGAGAATATTATATATTATTCGAAGTGAAAATAAACCATATACTATAACTTATATATAACACACAACACATATACAATATGTTATATATTATACTTAATAATGTTTGTTTTTTTCTTTCGGGTATTTTAATACGTATTATATCCGTATATACATATAGTTCGTACTTCGTACCATACCAATATATCAAACGCCCATTGCACACGTGTATGGGACTAGCCACATGAAACATCGATTTAAGATAAATATCAATGTAGAGAATTATAGTGTCCGAAAAATGTGAGAAAAATAATGTGGTTTTTGTGCCAATTCCCAAAATTATACATATGTTATCCAACACGTGTGCTGACCGCCACACGTATACAAATCCCGTGTGGTGTAAAATATATAATATT